GGGAACCCGTGAAGGAGACTATTAGACAAAGGTAAGTCATTTAATCAATCAATACCTGAACGATCGCAGCCAAATATCTCGGTCCTCATACATATCGTCCCACCATGCCATGTCAGAGGGATAATACGTACGTATCTCGCTGTTATTGGGTGCTTTAAGTGACGTATAGATATGGTCTTCTTATCGTCATTTCCTCTAAATTTCTACACAAAAATAGAGTCAAAATAGTGAAATATCACAGCACGCTGTGTTACAATTAGATCAAGAAGTGATTTTCTTTGTTTCTTGTTGACTTCCTTATGCTTGGTCTTACGCTTCTGACTATGACCATGTAAATTGCTTTTTGCTTGTGTTTCTGCTTATGTCACAGTATTAATAGGAGTATTAAACGTAGTTTACCTTCAATCGATAAGATTCTGTGTAGTTATTCCACACATTTCCTTTGATACTGTATGAAACACGGTAAGACGAAACCCAGCGATCTGCGGTTATATCACCTTGGATACCAATCCCTAAAAAAGAGATTACAATGCGATATTGATAATGACGACAATGCAGAGATAACAGTCCCATTTCTAATAATAAAATATAACCCTACACAGTATTGCTTAACAAACTGCTACGGTCTGATGAAATGAGAAAATAGGATGGAAGAGACTGAGAGAGAAAGAGGGAAGAGGAAGGTAGGGAACAAGGTAGAAAGAGAGAAAATGCAATCAGAAAGAAACAGGAAGCGGTGAGTGTAAGAGAAAGATAAGGAAATGGGAAAAGAAAGGAAGGAGAAAAGTGATATGGAATAAAGAGAAAATGAATTGAAGAAGAAAGAGAAATGAAATAAAAATTGACAATAATCTTTATAAGGAGTTTCATTTTCGAAAATTCAACAAACAAGGAAATATAGTTAATCTCTTGATCCTTTCAAAGTCCTGTCCCACTCACCTGTAACTTTAATGGGTTTGCCAAGATCTATTTCTTGAAAAGACTGCTTCTTATCAGTACCATCAGCGCACCATACATCCGTCATTGGAATAACATTACCATCCATACCGTTCGCGAAAGACTGGCTACTGTGAGGTCTGTACATCGCTTCATAAAATCTCTGATCAGTTTGATTGGACATGCGCATTGGGGTGAAACACTCTGGACAGCTTGGTAGAATACACTCTGTACGGTCTTCGTACGTTTTCTGCCCCGCACTGCACTTATGGATTGTATTAGCTTCGTTGCAGTGTTTAATTTGCTTGGATGATCCTTTTCCACAACTCACACTACAGTTTGATGCATTGGTTTGGGTTGGATTGGTTTCTTTACCATGTTGCTTGTGCACCTTGTCAGAAAGGAGTCCTGAAAATAAACGAAAACTGTTTCTGTTGTTCAAAATAAAAATGAAGTTTAGGCCATACGCTACTGTTTAGAAAACATTTACTTTCTCGAGTTTCTGTTGTTGTTTTTGGTGAGGATTGAGTTAGACTTGATCAAAAGAAGATCTAGGAAAAGTACTGGAAATACTGTGAGGCTGTAAAATGTATTCCGATGTCGTAATGCATATGCGCGGTAAAACAGGTTTTCGTTGATTTTAGTAACTATACAAGCTCTGTACCGATGGAGGGCAATTCACTTTAGGAACAGTCGTTTGGTAACACCTTACGTGAAATTCAAAATCAACAATGCATTTCGGTCTTGATATAGTGCAGTATCCTAGTATTCAATATTAAAGGTTTTTGTGGTGTAAATAAGTAAAAGATTACCTTCAGGATAAAAACTGTTTTTTTATTACTTTTACTTACCTGTAATGCAACCATATAGCTCGACCCTCATACAAATATTCTCACCATACCAAGACAAGGGATAAAACCTTACAAATCGACCATCAAAAAACTTATTCAACCAATGAATCTTGATGTTATCTTTATCATCACTACCCATTAAAGCCTGAATGAAATAACACAGGAAAATAAGCTTTTTCACAGCTTAAAAGGATATAGCTCATGCCTGCGCGCTCCTTGACAAAAAATGACTGTCTACTCCTTACAGGGTTCGTGGTACATTTTCACTGTAAAATTCCAGGACTTTTCAAGTACTTTTTAAGCACAAAAATGCGATTTTCAAGGAATATTTTTGAATTTTTGAAATGTTTGCGGACGTTTCTAGTGAAGCTTTTCAAAAATAGCCAAATTTTAATCTAAAAGCTTAAAAACAACATGTCATCAGATTCAAGGAGTTTTTCAGGAGTTTTAGAGATTTTTCACTTTTTCAATTCCAGGACTTTTGAAGGATTTCATTGCTATGTATCCACTAGGGAATACATACTTCCGTGTAATTAATTATTCTAGTATAAATGTTGTGTGAAATTGTGCAAGAGTCAGTTGGATGTAAACTCAGGAATAAATGCAAGGCTCTATGAATCCGCTCTGTTTTCTGGCATGATACACAACATTCATGACTACCCTGTTCGTACCTCTGTCGTGCCATTATGCTTCACACAGTCATATTTCCTGCCGTTGTCGCTGTAACACAGTTTATAACTCGTCACATAGCTATCGTAAACAGACGCTCCCTGCACGGCCACCCCTGAGATGGTTTTCTCTGATTTTAAATCAATTGTGAGGTAGGGTTCTTTATCGTCGTCGTCTGAGCACCAAGCGCTCTTCTTGATGTCATCGTAGAATGAAATTAAGTTCAGACGTCCATAGTATGGTTTGTGTGGCTGTAACACGGACGAAGCAGTGATTTGATCATCGTTTATTTTTAGAGATTCCATTCCAATTGGAGAAAAACATTCTGGTAATAAAAAAAATCATATTATTTAAAGAATGAATGATCTTTAATAATTCAGCTGGGAGTCTGCCGATGAGTTGGTTGGTTTCCTAATGAATTCACTCTACTGGGAAAAATATAAATATAAAGAATGATTAAAAAAAAAAAAAAGAAAAAAAGGAAAGAAAAGAAAAAAAAGAAAAAAAAAAGAAAAGAAAGAAAACTCGAAAATATGAATAAAAGAAGGCGAAATCTCCATTGGAATGAATGGGCACTTCAGCAGCAAACCTTCACTATAAAAAGACTTATCTAAGTAAACACATGGGAATCGGTTGTCTGAGATGCTGTACCCGTGATGCATCTCGGGGAAAAAATGGTCTTGCCTAATGAGGTCATGCTTCGTTTCACGAAGTGCATCATGGTAATGATACATGTATCAAGATGGCAGATGACTATTGAAAATTACGATGAAAGGAGAAAAAAAGAGTATTCAACAATCTAGGAGCTACATGAATCCATACAAGTATATCAAATTAGTGAGTACTTACCTTTTTCAAACTCACATCTTTTCATCAGTTTTTTAATATCATGAAGTGACAGAGCTTTGTCTGAAATAAAAAACTCATCCACAGCACCGCTTAAAAGACGATCTCCCTTATGCTCACCAATCCCTGCGCGGCCTTCCCAATCCTGCGACAACACCCCCACCCCCTCCCTCTTCGTCACAAATTTAGCATTCACAAAGACTTGGGCGTAACCGGACGTTTCGTCATAGGTGGAAGTCACGTGTGTCCATATATTTGGTGGTACAATCACTTGTGTTAAGACGTTGAATATCACAATGCCTTTTTCATTCCTATGGAACCACCGTACCGAGCCGTTATTTACCTCCAAATGGTATTGACCCATAGTATGTGTGGAGTTACTACCTCCTATTGTATCAAATATAGAATTATATCCATCGGTATGGTATAGTTTAATCCATGTTGCTATAGTTACAGCTTTGCGTGGTTTGTTAATYAAGTGTTCTCCATTGAGYAGGACGTCGCCGCCATTAAGGTCAACTCCTCGACCACACCTTTCACTAAATCGAGATAAACGAGCGAAGTTGACGATACGCGCATCGTTGTGAAGGTCTGTTTGGTCAGCAATGGTGTCTAGACCYTTAATAGTCTCGAACTTGAGATAAACAACGGCTTTATTCAAAACTGAAAACAACAGATCATAGAAACACAAATATCAATCATTATATCAAAACAATACACCTAATAGATTGTTTAATCAAACATAACATCAATCATTTAACCAATCAATCAATCKATCAATCAACTAGTCAATCAATCATTTCAACGATTAATCACTCATTCTATTCATCATTGTCCGTTCATCGTAACACTGTCCTGCCTAATGATTCTTTTCGTCTTACCTGTTCCATCTATTGTCGTGATTTTCGTTTGCTTTATAGGTTTCATTTCCTCTGAGTCTGATGCAAGAGAAATATTCACGTTAAAAGAGCATTCATTCAACCATTCATTCATGGAAATGTGTTGTTTTCATTTACAAAAACCATGACTTACCTAATGTCTTTTTAGCTGCAGTCGAAGTGTTGGCTGAAACGAAATTCATCATAAAATCAGTGAGGGCGTTAAACCCATGAAACATTTAATAGTGAATCACACTATTCCAGACTGAAGACACTAAAGAAAACAGTTGAATTAAATGCGAGTAAGATGTGTTTGTTATAACATCTATTCATACGTTCAACACRCTTACTCTGAAGCAAAATGAGATTCACCTTTGTCGCAGGTATATAGTTCTAMTCGCATACAATTCGTTAGTCCATCCCATGCCAAGGGGCGAATTCGAACTGATTTGGCTTCTATTTCATTGAAACTGTGTCTAACTACTGATTGTCGATCTTTGTTACCAACAAATATCTGGAATTATGATTACAATATGAATTAGAACTGCAATATATCGTATCGATCGATCAATCAATCAATCAATCAATCAATCAATCAATCAATTAATTAATCAATCAATCAATCAATGGAGCAACCAATCAATTAATCAATCAAGCAAGCAATCAATTAATCAATCAATCAACCAATAAATCAATCAATCAACCAACTAGTCCTTAATCAATCAACAATAAATAAATGAATAACTTTGAAATTGATTAATGAATTAATGAATTAAACAATCAATCAATAAAGCACTCATTCAATCCGTCAATCCATCGATCAATCAATAATCCAACCAACGAAACAGTCCATTCATCAATAAGTCAATCTGGTAGTCTGCATATGATTCAGAAGTCAGTCAATCAACCAATCAATCAATAGCAATACTGACAAGAATGACACTAGATAATGATGGTGATGATGAGTTAACCTGATTGCCAACGTCCAGCTTGCCGTAATGATAACGATGATGATGATGATGGTGATGGTGAAGATGAGTTAACCTGATTGCCAACGTCCAGCTTGCCGTAATGATAATGATGATAATGATGGTGATGGTGAAGATGAGTTAACCTGATTGCCAACGTCCAGCTTGCCGTAATGATAATGATAATGATGATAATGATGATAATGATGGTGATGATGGTGATAATTATGGTGATCTTTTGATGGTTTGGCTTTTACACTTTCTAAATTAAACAATAATTTGAATGAATGACGATGATTATGATGATGAATATGGCTATTAATAAACATGAATTAACGATGATGATTCTGGAAGTGACGATGATAATGAAGCCTTTTTATTAATTAGTAATATTTATTAGTAGTTAATCACCTTAACTTTTCCTTTATCCATGAAGTCTTGCCAGTTGGCACCAGTAGTTGTGTAKGARAAACTATATTTCGTTACCCAGTTGTCAAACATTGCTTGTCCCTGTGTAGCAATWCCTACAAGATAATAAAATCAAACAAACTGATCGACATGRAGTCTGATGAAACATCCACTGCCAACAAACAAGCGGGMTTTRTTAAGCGTTCGCAATATGGAGGTGRCCGTAATACGGGGGTCTTTTGTGCCGGTGAAKAACGAAAGAAAACAGCGAMTCTTGGCCGAGTTGTGCAAAGCTCGATTAGCGCTTATACTGGTTTYCATKAAAACAAACTTATGGATCAATACTAATGTTGCGCCTTAGTCGATCCAGCCCTGATGGAATTAATTCATTAGATTCTCCTATATAACGGAAGTCCTTACCTACAATGGAAGTGACGTCATTAAAGTTAATCTGTAAGTATTCTGTATCATCTGCAAATGCTGAGCACCAGGCTCCTTTGGATCCACTAACGATATTATTAAGCCGAGCGTGAAAAGGCATGTGACTGTCGTCGTACGAGGAGGATGCTGTGATTTGACTGTTTTTGATGAGTCCATTGCTTATGCCTAGTTGGTGCCC